CCTTCCTAATAATATGGTTTTGTTTTCCTGTACACTGGAGCCAGACATGGAAATTTTCAGTGTCGTCAGTTTATGGTTTCAAGAAAGAGTTTGATTGGGATTTCTTTAAATATACCTTCATCTGAATTCCTATGATAGGGTTTTGGCTGGGGGTAGATGAGAAGGGTCAGAAAACAGGAAAGAGAAGATAAGCTAATTCAGTTAATTTATATGTGTTACATTTTTGTAGTATTATAGTTAAATAGAATTTGATCAATCTAACAGTCTTTTTGGCTGAACAAACACTCCTATTGAGATACTTTATGTTAGTGGCTGTGTTTTTACTTAAATACTTACCAAAATATTAATATACTGCTGATTGAATTTTTCAAGTTAGGACAAGCCAATCATGTAGCAGCAGTACTAAAGCTGCTTCCATTCTCCTGGAAAAAGACTGCTTTGAGATATTCAAGAGAACTAGAAGCTCCTATACTGCTGCCTGCTGTGGTTTACAGATTGATACATTTTACCTAGGAATTCAGGAAACTAGATTTACTGACACAGTGGGTTCTCAGGCCTGTCTTTCTGTTACCTTTAGTTGATGCAATCTTTAATAATCTGTCTGTTCTTCCAATGGTTGTTTGATTTTGATGTATTTGTTCCTGCTGTGTCTTCATTTTTATAAAACTTGAATACTGTATCTTTTGGGGTTTTAAATCTTTTGGTTTATTATTCCATTTTCCTTCTGTTCTATAATTGCTAGAAGCTTACCAGTTGAAATGCAGGTATTCACTGGCAGTTTCGTGATCTATCTCTAAATTGTCTATTTTTCTGAAAAAGTAATTTTTTTCCTAGCACTTTGTGTCATGCTATTTTAGGCACCTTTATATAAATAGAAGGTAGAATCTTGAACAGCATTAATAGCATGGGTGTCACTTTTTATTTAAGAGTTTCATCTCAATCTCATCTAATCAGAACAACACATAGTCACTGATGTCTTAGGAACCTTAATAAAATACATCAGAAGCAGTATAAAAGGTGGAAAAGTTTCCAGTACCCTGGCTTTCCTGCAGCCAAGTGATGAAGTGTCTTACAATAAAGCTGAGATGAAAAGGGGGTTTTGTTTGGGTTTTAATTAGTGTTAAATCCAGACTATGCTATGTAATTTGGATTTTGAATACTGGTCGATAATGATAAAGCCTTGCAAGCCTTTCTATTGATTTCTGAACGGCAGGACAGCACTTATTTTGCACCGTTACTTCAGGAAGTATGTGATATAAACTGTTTCCTTTTGGGACTTTTTTGACGTTTAAATTAATGGTGAAATTGTGTGCTGAAGTCACTTATGAGGCCACCACAAGATGCTAATCAAATATCCCAGAAACATGTAGCAGGAGAACCCAATGTCTGTCATTGGTTTAAGACTGATTTTGCTCTTAAAAGCAAAGATTATTTAATTTAATGTGAAGACAAAGATCTGATTACCTGCCATTTTTTTGTGGGTGTGTTAATCATGTTGACAACTAAGCATCCTCATGAAATCCCAGGTATGGACATCTGGTTATGCAGAATTATAATTAATTTCTATCAATTGCAGTGATGTAGATGTCATATAGAGGATACAACAAAAGTGTAATTTCTTATATGAGTACATTTCTGAGCGATTGTTAATATAGTCCTTGGTGGTTGCAGAGATGATGGCACAAGTATTTTATCATGAATATAAGCATCGAGAGTTCCATTCAATACTGTTCATGTTAAAAAAAAATATCCCTGAGGTTTTGGTTGTTTTTTGTGTCGTTTTAGGGTTTTTTGTTTGCTTTTTTTAAAAAAAAATAAATAATTACATTCCCTGGGCTTTTTATGAAAAGAAATTAAAAAGATAAAGCAGCATCATTCCAAGTATGATGTAATGGATAAAATTTTGGTTTCCTTAAGCTATAAGACTTCATGAAATGTTCAGAATATCTCTTGGTTAGCTCTTCAGGCAATTTTTAAACCCTCCAGATGACCTCAGATAGTAAAGCAATCAGTATAAGGTATCATGTGCATAAAGTGGTAGTATCTTTGAATCGGTACCCCAAAAGTAAATCCCTGAATCAAGTACCCCAGAAGAAAAAATGCATACATAGAGCAACATAAATTTAAGAATTGAGCCTTGTGGGAGTCTCCAAACATTTGAATCTGATTGGAAGAAAACCCACACAAAATAATAAAGTGGGAGTCATTTTCTGATCTTCTCCAGAATCCTAAAGTCTGCTTCATTTTACCGTCAGGGTTAGGGAAGAAAAGCTTTTAAGTCAGCCAGCATCAGATTGATTCATAAAGCAAACAGGAAAAGTATTATGAGGCAAGGCTTCATGCTATGATAGACATCTAGGAATACTCATCTTTGGCAGCCTATTCATCTTTGGCTAAGGGGGTGGAAACTCTGGTTTGTCTCCCTGGGTAATGTGTGGAATCCTGTTTATGTTCCAACTCAGTTTATGTGGCCTTGGGGAGCAAAGTCTGGTCTTAGAATTAGCTGTAATTTTTGCTGATCAGATAGTGGTATGACTGTCCAACTATTTTTCCATGACTTTTGTAGGAGAACTGTATGACAAATCTACGACATGCTCTTAGTTTTTTAAACATTGGTATGGTGAAGGCACTTGTTTCATGTGAGACAAACAGCTGGTGGTGATTGAGAGATTCCCTGTATAGGTGATTTGCAAAGACATTTCTTTTTGTAATGTGAAGAGTTCATTACATATCAAAAAAAAACAAAACAAGGAAGAAGGACTGTTCAGATACAAATTTTTATAAATGCCCAGTGCAAAATTAGAAGTTCACTGTCGTCATGTTAGAGGCAGTTTAAATATACATACATGTATCTGCAATGTATTGAATGTAATAAAAAAGCATGCAAACCCATTTAACTTCCATTTGAACACTTGCACCTAATCTGACTTTTGCAGGCAGTGCTGTGGTTTATCGAGATATCATTAGGCTATTTCAGGTCTGAATCTAATTTAACAGTTTACCTGTTCTGGACATCCCTTCTAGAAAACAGCAGAGCAAGCAAAATAGAATAGTCAAGACAGAGCATATTCAACTCTTTCTTCTTTATATTGCCAGGGCTCCAAAAAGCTTCTTTGACTAAGGTATCATTGTTAGCTATGATACGAAAAGGGAATGAAAAGCTGCCCATGCCCCTAGACATTTGCAGGCTACGAGGATGAACAAGCAGAGGAGTCTGATCAAACTGGTCTGAACTGAATGATCTTGACTTACCAGCCATTTGACAACTTGGCTACTTAACTGTAAACCTACAGATCATAAATACTGATCAATTTCTGTATACATATAATTTTGTGTTACCTATAGGCAGGTTCTTTAACCAAAAATGCACGTCAAACCTCACAATTCTGGTATAGCGAACTTCATCTAATGTCTGCCATGTACTGCATTTCAAGTTAAGTAATCTATGTTTGGTTAAACGGAGCACACATGACTAACATGTCTCTTTGAGTTATTTTAATATAGTAGGCCACACAGATTTTTGACTGTATGTTATAAAGATGTGTGTTATTGGTAGATTTTAACTTAAATCACTCCTACTACTTAGTCTTTGTTTCACAGTCATTGTTTCTCAAAGTCATTGATTAGCAATATGCTTGTTGCTAAAGAGAATAAGAAACTAGTAGTTCATGACACAAAAAATTATGACCTTTTAAGCTTGTGGGTTGTAAGGTAGATGAGGAGACCCAGGAATGTGTTAGAAGAGGCTCAGGATGCACAGGATATTAAATATGTGCAATCTGTAGTTGATTATTTTTTTGATTATTAGTTGATCAACATACATTGTTTCCTTCACTCAAGGAAAAAAGGGATTTTTTTTTTTTTCTTTTGGGAGGTGGAAATAAAGCTAATTAGGACCCACGGTGTTATGGTTTTTGATGATCCATCCCCTCTTCCTGAATTTATGAGGATGAGCTGGGAGAAGCATGATTTGGAAGACACCGTTACATTAGTTTCTGGAGTCAGGTAATGTCTTTGTGTTGGATGAACGTAGCTTCTCAGTCTACCAGGCATAAAGGTATTTTTAATGGTTATAAAGTTAGTACAGGTGTGTATGTGGAACAATGAGGTAGAAAGAACAGGAAGAGAAAGACATCTACCACGGTAGTCCTGGTCTTTTGAGGGGAAAGACTCTAAAGGACAAGAAACAGGACTATATCCCGTTTCAGTTTTATTTTCTAATAAACTGCTGAGATGTTTTGTGGGAGGGGTATAAGCATCATAAAATTGTTAAATAATGATGTGTCATTACAGCTTTACATTGTTCTGTGTAGATATGGAAGTATTTTGAGATATCTCACACGAAGATACAATTCCTGTGTTTTATAAGAGACTGAGTGCTCCTATCTTCATTCTCTTTTTTATTAAGATCAGTAGAGATTAATTCTGTTAACTCTATGTCTTAACTAATGCGATCTATTTTACCTGTGGATTAAGATGCATAAAAAATAGCACGAAAATGTGAAAACTGAAATGTAATTGCTTCTGCACAGGGTGCTGCGTCAACCCATAATTATTATCCTGAAAATGTCAAATTTAAATATAATGTCTTTAAATTGCTTATTTCAGATATCAGAGGGAAAACTAAGAAAAAACTCCAGTAAAAGATTTTAGATGACTTAACAGCATTTGAATTAGTTACACAACTGAATTGAGTTTTGATGTTTAGGCAGAAAGCAGCATTGTATTTGGACTAAGAAATTACTTGCTGGCTTTGTCACCGTTGACATTAATTATTGATAGGGGTTTCAGAAAATAGCGCATGTGCTGTCAGAGTTGACTGAAATATAAGATAGGGGCTGCAGTGATGCTAGAGGGATTATAAAGGGAAGCACCTGTAGCATTTGAAGTTGCATGCTTCTAATCATCAGACTTTTATTTTGTTGTAATAAATTCACATGAGTGATTAAAATAATGGGAAGATGAGTCGTCAAGCTTATTTCTATCGTGTCCCTCCACAGGAATTACATAGAAGAACACAACTTCAGCCTGAGCCAGCAAAGACGAAGGCTCTTCAAACAGTTATTGAAATGAAGGTATGGTCCTTGCATGCTTTCCCATATGTTATTTTTGTATCATGAACTCATTCACTGGGTATGGCTGGGCTGGAGTTAATTTTCCTTACAGCAGCCTGTATGGTGCTGTGTTTTGCATTTAGGACCAAAGCAGTGTTGATAATACAATGATGTTTTAGCTGTTGCTGAGCTGTGCTTACACAGACTCAAAGCTCTCTTTCTGCCCCTGTTCTCTCCATGCACCCACTTTCCAACCCTCTCTCCTCCCTGCAAGTAGTTTGGGGGTGGACAAGAGGCTGAGAGGGAATGCAGCCAGGACAGCTGACCTGAATTGACCAAAGGGGTATCCCCTACCACAGAATGTCAAGCTCAGCCATAAAAACAGAAGGGAGGACATTGAGATTTATGGCATTTGTCTTCGTAACTGTTACGCACAATGAAGCCCTGCTTTCCTGGAAATAGCTAAGCAGCTGCCTGCTGATGGGAAGTAGTGAATGAATACCATAATTTGCTTTCCTTGTGTGCACAATTTGCTTTACATATTAAACTGGCTTTGTCTCAACCCATGAGTTTTCTCACTTGTGCCTTTCTGATTCTTTCCTCCATCCTACTGAGGGTGAGTGAATGGGCAGCTGTGTGACACTTTGCTGCCTTCCAGGGTTAACCCACACCACCTCAATTTGTAACTTTTACTGTGAAATCATTAAACGCTTCCCTTTCTTTTGCTGTGAAACTAGGAATAATTAGGAATTAATAATTAGAAATTTCTTTGACTCAGTCTGTTTTCTTATATAAGACTTGATTAAAATATCGAGTGCTACATTGCTGAATAATGAGAACCGAATATTGTGTTAGATCAGGTTGCACAGAGCCCCATCCAGCCCGACTTTGAATCTCTCCAGGAATGGGGCCTCCATCTCCCCTCTAGACAACCTGCTCCTGTGTTTCACCACCCTTATAGTAAAGAACTTGTTCCGAATGTCTGATCTAATCTATCCTGCTCTAGTGTAAAACCATTGTCCCTCGTCTTGTTCCTACCTACCCTTGTAAAGCAGGTACATCAGTTTCAATAGTCTGTCTTCTGTGTATTGCCTTGGACCTTTCCTGTTTTTTCTAGTTCAGAAGTCTACATATGAAATATAAAAAGTATGTGTTTGCAGTAACTTGCTACCCTAAGTATATGGGAAAGTATGATAGTGGCTGAGAAACTTCTTTCTATTAATATTCAGAATTATGAATTTAAAAGTTTTGGGATACAGAGATAGTGCGTTAGAATAATTTATGATTTTCCATGTGAGTTAACACTGTAAATGATGTGTTGCACAATAATTTGGAATTCCTCTTCCTGTATCAAAACTCTCAGAAGGAAGAGGGACAGGACAAGGGTAACACATGTGACAACTGTAGTTGCAGCCACTCTGACAGTGTCTGTCACTGAAGATAGTAAAATCTTTCTTTGTTTTGTCTCCCAGGAGAAATGGGTATGGTGCAATGTTCCACTTCTGAAAATTTGATCGTTCTAGTGAGGGCTTTCATTTCTTCCAGGTGAAGCTGTAAGCGTGTTGCGGGAGCATTTTGTTGCAGAGCTGCTTTTTGGCTCCGTGGCACACAGTGCTTTCTTTTCATATGAACACATGTTCCTTTGGGGTTGCCCTGTCTAAAATAGCCGTAATATTGGAAAAAAAAAGATGTGGAAATCCACATGATTAAACAGCAGTTTTTATTACCCGTTCCAGCTTTGGAATGTTTTCAAGTAAGTTTAAATTGTCTTAATTCAGACAGCATTTGTTTTGAAAAAATGTGGAGCATTTGTTTTGAAAAATTGTAGAACATTTGTTTTGAATGTTCAAGCATTGAAGCAATAATTTCCCTAC